AGGTGCAATGAGCCGGGGCTGGGCGGGGCAGCAGGGGGCGGGACGTGTTCGGTTCGCCATGAGAGTATCGCGATACGTATCGTGGGTGGTGTATCGCGGTTTTTCGGTTCGGTTCAAATATCGTTACACCCCTAGTATTTACAGTCATTACGTTCCTGCGTATATTGCGTGAATGACGGGTGGTTGGGCAGATATTGTGTTTTGCGGTAGGTAGTATGCCATACGGAACCGTTGCCACTGAAACTGCATATTAACGCACCAGTGGGGCTCGACAGCCTTAGTCAACGGGTTGGCGCGTATGGTTGGGTTGCGGAGAGATTGTGAGATTGTGGTTAGGTCTCAGCAGCAGGAGGGATGTAGAGGTCAGTAAGCTGGGCTGAGTTGAGTGGGGGACGGAGGGGGGTGACTCTGGGACGCCAGAGTCACTGTCGAGCCCTCTTGAGGTGTCGTGGGCTAGTCGACGAAACACTGAGGACGGAAGGTGCCCACTTGAAGAGCCTAGAGATGTCCCCTACTTGGCTCAATCCAGACGGTTGTCGTGCTGGTCCACTAGGGAGACCACACTGTAGTTGCAGCCGTCGTGTGTGCTGACGCACCAAGTACACTGCAGTCATTAACGCCGGACAGAAGGGGAGTCACACCACCATATGGAAAGAAGCGTAAATGGGTGAAGCATAGTTTACTGTAAAGCTACGTCTTAGTGCTTATCTTGGCGAAAGCAGAGTACAAATCAGCATGAAGTTTTAACATCTACTGTCGTGTAATGGAAATCAATGGCAAAAATGGACCATAAATATTGCATAAATATTAATAAGCAACTTCAAATTCTCTCAAAATACAAAATTTAAAAGAAAAAAATATTATAGAACAAAAATAAATTGCATTGGTTTTACTGGGATGGAAGAAAGTTTCATTTTTAGGTGTCCGGTCACTTCTGACCAGGAAGATAAGGGTGCAAATGAGGAGTGACCTGAGGGTTTAAAGGCTATAGTTTGAAAGATGGAGCGGAGCACAAAAAAATAAAGTAGGCCTAGGACCCGGGCCTTAAAGGGTTAGTTCACAGAGAAGGAAATGAATAGTTGAATAAAGTCGTTATTTAAAAAAAAAAAAAAAATCAATCATTTCATATTTTTTACATAATTTTTTTTACCTTTAAAACATTAATCTCAACATAATTTATGCAATTATAATTTGCTGTGTACTACATAATGTACATGTCGTACACAGCAAATGACTGTATGTCTAAACAGCCTATGTGTCAATCCAAAAATTGATTTTATTGATACCGACTTCCTTTTATTTGGTCTAGCCATACACCGTGTCTTTGCATTCTGATTGAATTTGTTGACTAAAGCCTCGCTCACACTACAGGAGTTTTAAAATCCTAACCGATTTTGAAATCTGGTTGCAGCTCACACTTAAGGAGAATCTTTGCAGATTTTCTTACCTCAAATCTTAAACATGCTCACACTACAAGATTTGAAAATCGTGGCGCATCACACACTACACAATGTTATTAAGATTCGTGCCAGAGAAAGCGCCTCACGTGATCTCACGCAACAGATCGGAAGCGGAAAGGTGGATGTAAACAAAATATCTGTCCTTCATATCAAGTCATATTCGTGAAAAGGTTGCCGTATGACCAAGGAAAGCGAAATCTTTAAAAAAAAATCATCCTTTTAATAAGGATATTTCTAATGAATGGCGTCACCTCTGTTCAATACAATGAATCAATGCCATAGATCTATGGCAAGCCGTTTTAACTTTTATTCATTTCCAGGATATGAATACTTGATATCAACAATTCAATTTTCACTAGTTAAAATTATAATTATTGATATCAGGAATAATATTTCTACTAGTAACAATGGCAATTTTTGATATCAGGAATTACATTTTCACTAGTAACAATGTTAATTCTTGACATCAACATTTACATTTTCACTAGTTAAAATGATAATTCTTGATATCAACAATTGAATTGCAACAAGTAAAAACTATAATTCTTGATATCTGTAATTGTATTTTCACTAGTGAAATGTCACTATAGGCTGCCATTCAAAATCAATTCTTGATATCAAGAATTTATTTCTTACTAGTTGAAATTCCAATTTCACATATCAGAAATACAATTCTTACTAGTAAAAACCTTTATTTTTGATATCAAGAATTAAATTGTCACTAGTTGAAATGTCTATTCTTGATATCAACAATTGAATTGCTACTAGTAACAATGTTCATTTTTGATATCAATAATTCAATTTTCACTAGTGACAATGTTAATTTATGATATCATGAATGTGATTGTTACTAGTAAGAAAGCCATTTTAGATATCTGAAATAATATTGATATCAATAATACATTTTCAGATATCAAGAATAAACATTTTTACTAGTAGCAATTCAATTGTTGATATCAGGAATTCGCATTTTTACTAGTAACAATGTAATTCTTGATATCAGGAATATAATTCTTGATATCAACAATTGAATTCTTGATATCAACAATTGAATTCTTGATATCAACAATTGAATTCTTGATAACAACAATTGAATTCTTGATATCAAAAATGTAATTCTTGATATCAAAAATGTAATTCTTGATATCAAAAATGTAATTATTGATATCAACAATTGATTTTGAATGGCATGGTGACATTTCACTAGTGAAAATACAATTGTTGATATCAAGAATTCAATTGTTGATATCAAGAATTCAATTGTTGATATCAAGAATTCAATTGTTGTTATCAAGAATTCAATTGTTGATATCAAGAATTCAATTGTTGATATCTAGAATTATATTCCTGATATCAAGAATTACATTGTTGATATCAAGAATTCAATTGTTGATATCAAAAATGTAATTGTTGATATCAATAATTATAATTTTAACTAGTGAAAATTGAATTGTTGATATCAAGGATTCATATCCTGAAAATGAATAAAAGTTAAAACGGCTTGCCATAATAGATCTCTATAAGGTAAAGCATCAGCAGCGTTGCTCAATGCCCATTGCTGCTCAGCTGAGCATTGTAAAGTGGAGCTCAAAGTTAAAATTAAAATAATTAACAGCTTGTTTCATTTAACCTATCTTTGAATGAATATAACTTTATAATGAATATAAATATTTTATAATGAAAATATTTTTGTGTAGGGCTAGGCCTAATTCTGTGAATTACACTGTGCAAACCAAAGTAATAGCCTAGCTACTACCCACCGGATGAAGAAAGGGCTCTCAGTCTCCACAGAACATAAAATATTCATATTATTTTATTTTTCGTGTTGACATTTGAGGAAAAAACAATGTTACGGACATGACCGCTCTAAGCGACTTTAAAATATGCTTTAAAACTTTCACAAAGACATCAAACAGAAAGCACAAAACCTTTCTTTAAATCGAATTTCGTTTTGTATTAATTGTATCTTAATTTTAAACAATGTTTCATCAACCAATTGCCTGGATTTTTATAAATAAGAAGTAAATATAGCAGACGATAGATAATCACGAAACGGAGGCGTCGGCGATACTTCATAAATGAACCGAAACTCAGCGTATAAGATAGCCTACTTGCCTCACAGACATGTCTACTTTTAAACAGAACAATTCAAAACGAAAGAAAACAGACTACAGACTGCTCTCTGCTTATGTAATCCGTATGAAATGTGCATTTCTCTCTGGCGCGTTCACTACTGAAGATCGCGTACATCCTGCGGAAGACGGAAGAGTTACAGATGGTTCAGGATCGATGTCGAAAAATCTATATTTTTGACAACACTAGATTGTAGGCTACTTAGTTTATTATTTCAGATGCCTTTATTATGCATTTAGTATTTTATTATTATTTATTATACTGTATTATGCTTATTTATTTAGCAATATATGGATAAATGGAGATAATGCGCGCATCGCGCTGATGAGTCACTCAAAATTACCTCAATGGAAATTCCTTCACCATGACAGCCCTACTTATTGGCTATTGTGACAGTACTGACGTAATCACAATCTTGCTCATCCCGATAAATATCAAACATGTTTGATATGATCGGGGCGAGCCCGATTTGTGTAAGAGCAGATCGGGAGGTGCAAGATTCGATCTGTGAATGCCTCACATTACCAGATAATCTGTGCCGAACATCGGAACCGATCGAGGTCCTCGACAAGATTTTTTCTCCGATTCTCGGGAGGGGAAAATCGGGCATAAATCGGCCTAAAACTCCTGTAGTGTGAGCCAGGCTTAAATTTAAGAATCTGACATAAGAGGACAGATAGCTTTGACAAAGAATTTAAAAATACTGTTTTCCCTTGGCTTTATTATTAGAGTTTTGATCTTCTCTCAACTGAGAGAGTATTCTGCATTACATTGTATTAATGACTATTTAATATTAACCACTAAACTTTGACTATAGGCATGTTGCATATTAATTGTTTTAGGAACCTCAAAGCATATTTAAATTTTTGTGTAATTTGTGCTACTCCATAATGATGTTTAGCGTAAGTAGGGCCCAAACATAAACTCAAGCCCAGGGGCCCCCAGCCCCCTAAGTACTGTCCTGCGTATAACATTGCAATTAAACTTGTCCTCAGTGAGAGAAAGCGACATATGCTAAAGGGTTAGTTCACCCAAAATGTAAATGTTTTTGCGCGCGAACAATCCCTTTAAGCAGTAGTATGTTCCTGCACAACCGGAGGCTGAAGGACCCTAGTTCTAGCTATGAGTTCAAGGACCGCCGTTTCAGGAACCTATTTGTGACAGCGCCACCTACAGAACTGGATGATATAGCGGCGGCTGCGTTTTCTAAGTGGAAAAATAGTGATGTCTCTTTAACCATAGGACAGAGGGAGGGCGAGGCACATAAGAAAGCTCGTCGTCACGCTGTTTGTATAGGAAGTACTGAAAAACATTCTCGACTTTCTCTTGTGACAGTAGTAAAAATGTGTATTCCTGCGTTATTTTAGGTCAAGTGTGTTTTACAGCGTCTACATACATCGAGTAGCTAGCCTATATCACACGGAAGGAAAAAAAACCGAGTCAGAACCACGAAAGCTGCTGTCGATAAAATTCAACTATTAGTGCTGAACATTGAAAAGCAATGTTGAAGGAGTATCTGCGTACAAATGCGTGCTCTGCTCTTAGTGTTGTTTTGCACCGTTGCTCTGCAATGGGATCGTGTCAGCTGCCAGAAATCCGTTTACCTCGTTGCTCTTGGGAATGTCTGGAGTTCAGACAGACCTGCAGGAGTTACACTGAACCGCAATGGAGACGAGGTGAGCTGGACAAACCTTCTCTTCAATATACGATCATAGACAATGTATTACAGCTAAATCAAACCACTACACCCCTTTAATTCAGTATTCGGATGTGCAGTAACTTCATAAATGTGTAATCAATGGTATCACTCTCCATTTACCATAATTAAACTCTGCCTTATGTATGTGGCTCTTTCTAACTATTTATGTCTAACTATTTATTTCTTAACTATTAACATGGCAATTTGCTAAGAATCTTGCACTGCTGCATTTTTTGTCTTTGTTGCAGTGTGATGTTGTGATGAACCTGTCTGCCAGCCAGAGATGTGAGTTTGTGAAGAATACCCCAGACTGTGCTTCAGATGAAGGGTTCATCAAATACCCTTGGGTCACCTTTTGTCTGTTCCCACCTAATCTGCTGCCCCTAGTCATCACACTCTATGTAAGGACATTTAGCTCAGTTACCAAACTTACAGTTTCTTTTGAAACCGTTCACATAACAGAGAATCCAATGTTGTGTAAGTTTATTTGTGGAGCGTGACACGTTTTTGTTTACATATCCAACTAAAACTAATCATTATCCATCAGTCGATTGTAATTTGATGTTATATATATTGGTCAACTTTCCCTCCTTCTCTCTTTTCTTCCTGTCAGGTAATCTGGCTGTTTGTTTTGTTCCTCATTCTCGGGCTGATTGCATCAGACTTGTGAGTTTTGTATTTGAGAAAATACTTTAAGGGTTATTAATCGTCCTGGTGATCACTGCTGCCCCTGTCCTTAAGGGACTTACTTTCTTTTGTGGAAGATATTTTGAAGAATGTTACCATTGACTTCCATTGTGTGGACAAAATAAACACTGAGACATATTTTATGTTCCACATATTACCAACATTCTTCTCAGCTTGGTACATTGATAATCATTGAATTGCAATAATTGAGCCTGACTGAATTAGGCATAAGTTAAGTGCTGGTTGTGTGTGCGCATAATCTTTACTTTTAGAGTGAATATGATTTGAAATGTTTATTACATTGCATTCTATTTGCGTTGTGCATTCAATTTGATACTTATGGCTATCAAATACAAATTAGTAATAGATTAAAACTTATAAATAATAATTGTAACACTCTGGAAACATTTCTATTTATGTGATTTCATGGCAATAACAATCGAGCTGAGTCTTTGGCCATGACCTATGTTTTACTTCCCTATTCATTCATGTGACAGAGACAACGTCTTTCATTTATCTGGAGAATTTTGAGTTGAGTCTTTATTTTGTAAAAGTTCTGCTTTTTGAGGGTCATAAAGTCAGTTAATTCATAATTTGGTTGCAAAATTCATTTACAGTGATTACAATCTATAAAGAACAGAATATTTTATTCAAATGTGTGTAGCTTATAATGTGCATTTTGATTTATATTTTATACATATATACATTTTTTTTCTTCAGTTTCTGCCCAAATCTTTCAGCCATTTCCTCCTCACTAAGACTGACTCATAATGTGGCCGTATCCTTTAAATGTTTGAAACATGGCAGAACAGTAATGCCCAGATCAGCTGATCCTTGTAATTTGTCCTCATTTTGCAGAGGTTGAGGAGGTTAATTACTCCTCCTGTGAACTTCTGCTTTGTCCTTATCAACCACAGCAGTGATAAACTCCTGAGTCCTGGAGTGAAGAGAATATCACAACTTGCTAAGCAACTAGTATATCAAACAATAAGTCTGTTTGTAGGTCATATGCCCACAGTGTTAGCCAAGGCTGTGTTATTCTAGGTAGTGTTTGTTTAGTCTAATACTGTTTATTCTTGAAGTCTGTGCATGATCGAGAAGAGTCTGTTGTACTGTTTGAGTCATTAAAGTGTGTGCATGACTGAGAGGTGTGTGTAGTGGTCAATTGGTGTGTGACGGAGTGGAATCCAAAGTGATCTGTTTGTGTTTTGGTTACTGGAAATGGCCCAAAATGGTGCTGTGAGGTTGTGTTGGCATGTTTTCTTTTTCTTCATCATTTTCCATGACGGAATGGAACAGGGAGTAACGTTCCTGGCACTTGGAAATGGGGCTCCAGATGTGTTCAGTGCCATGGCTGCTTTCTCTCACCCTCAGACTGCTGGTCTTGCTGTTGGAGCATTGTTTGGTGAGAGATCAGCACTTTTAAACATGCACCAAATATCCTTACACACACACACGTTTCACTCTGTTAGTTAGGACACTGCATAGACTTCCATTGATTTTGTATCGTTTTCAATATATTATCACCTAACCCAACCCCTACCCCTAATCACAACCCTCACCGAAACATGTGAAAAACACTAGATTTAAATAAAAGCATGATTTGGCCAATTTATAACCCTTTTTAACTAGTGAGGACTAGTTGTCATAGTATTTCACTATATAAGTGAGGACATTTGGCCCTCACAAATATAGTTCTATTGGCTGCTGCAGAAATTACACACTTCACATTTAAGTCGTGTGAACAGATTCATTAACCATAAAAAACATGAAGTGCTCTGTAGTATTGTTATATATCTATGGTGCTTTTCAGTATATAGTATTCAGTATGTGTTCATTTATTTAATGTTGATTCGTTGACATGTTCATTAACAATGAATATAGATAATTTGTTGTACTACATGAATTGGGATTTTTTTCCCCCTACTTTATTATGACACACTGTTTTTTTATAGGGGCAGGAATCTTTGTTACAACAGTGGTAGCTGGGAGCATTGCTCTGATTAAACCTTTCACTGTTGCATCCCGTCCATTTCTCCGCGATGTCATTTTCTACATGGCGGCTGTATTTTGGACCTTCAATATCCTATACAAAGGCCACATTTCCATGGGAGAAGCCGTGGGTCTGATCACCGTTATTCATTTACCCAAAATTTACACATTCATGTAGTAGAATATATGGTTACCAGTTCAAAGATTAATATTTCAGTTTGTTTGGAAGAAATATATGACTATGAGTCTAACATATTTGTCTCCTGTGCCATTCTTTTTCTCTTATCCGCAGGTTATCTGGGGTTGTATATTGCATATGTTTTGACTGTGATTGTGAGTGCATATGTTTACAATCGTCAGAAGCATCAACTAAATGAATCGGCACAGAGCTCAGGCAGAGAACACGGTGAGGAGACTGCAGTTTTTGTCAGCACTGAGCGCTATTATTCCAAAAACACATCACACACATTTTACCCTCTTAAAGTCTCATTACAATTTCTGAATTGGGAGTGATTATTTTCTGTTTTTAAGTTAAAAATGTAAAAATGTGTTGTAATGTCACATAACTATTAGTTTTTGGTTTTCAAAATATGAACAACAAAGCTGTCTGAAATGTTGAATATTAATTTTATTTTGCACTATTTACGCATTCATATATATACTGCTCACAACAATGGAAACGCAAAGCTCTGTCAGAACTTTATCTAAATTAAGTGTTATTGTAGTTTATGAAATAAAATACATGCTGTTTGACTAATAGCAGTGTTATTCAGATCACTGAGCAGAGATTAATGAGTGCTGTTCTTGACTTGTAGAAGAGATTCTCCCGTCTGATTCATTTAGAGAAACTCAGAGTGGCAGCATACAAGCAGATGGTGGGTCACTTCCTCTCAACTGAAAACTATGTTGGCTAACTTAATAGCTGGAGTTTCCATGGGTTATGTATGTGTGTGGTTGTTTTAAACTCCACAGACTTTCATAAATATGTTTTGCAAGTGTGTGTTCCCATCTGCTTAGTTAAAGGGATAGTTCACTCCAAAATGAAAATTCTAACCCTGCAAAATTCGATAAGATGTGAGAACCAGTTTTTACTTTTTTGTCAAATCAGAAGGACTAATTATTTATTTATGTTTTATTTATTATGATCTGTAATAATCACTTTATTTAACTATTGTGATTACACTTTGTAACAGAGGTTGGCTTTGTGTATGTCTTTCTTCCTTTTTTATAGTACTTTTGTTTCATTTTACACATTGCACAGATTTCTGTTTTATGAAGGGTCTTTTTGTCTGTTTTTTTTTTGTTGTTGTTGTTTTTGATGGTTGAAAACCTCAATAAAAATAATATACACAAAATGAAAATTCTGTCAGTAATTACTCACCCTCATGTTGTTCCAACCCCGTAAGACTTTCGTTCATCTTCGGAAAACAAATTAAGATATTTCTGATTAATTCTGAGAGCTGTCTCACTCGTCCATAGGCTTCTATGGCATTGAAACTTGCCGGCCCAGAAAAGTTATTAAAAACATCGTTATAACTTTTCTGAGCCGGCAAGTTTCAATCCCTTAGAAGCCTATGGAGGAGTGATCCAGCTCTCAGAATTAATTAGAAATATCTTAATTTGTGTTCCGAAGATGAACGAAAGTCTTACGGGGTTGGAACAACATGAGGGTGAGTAATTACTGACAGAATTTTTATTTTGGGGTGAACTAACCCTTTAACAGTGAAAGAGAAGTTTGCATCTTTGAGGAAGTTCTGTATGGTGTGAAAGTGTTGCTCTCTGCTCAGGCATTACATATTATGGCTTGATTGGCTTTGAAATGCCACTCTTCATCAAGTTTCTTTCATAATTTAGAGTGTGTGTGTGTAATTCTTACATGTATGTTTCAGATGGAGAGGAGTATGAGCCTTTGCTGCCTTACAATCAATCTACTGCTCAGATCTTCCTGAATGCTATTAACCCAGTGGACAGCCGGACCTGGAGGAGACGGCACTGGAGTTCCAGAGTCCTCAAAGTGATCAAGGTGAAAATGTGAACGTTTCATGATCACTTCCTGGTTCTAAATGAGTGGATGTTCCTCTAGTAACCTCTTTTTTTAAAATAAACTTGTCTAATTGTCCAATTGGTGGATGGTGGGAACTTTATATACATGCATATGTTATTTTAAAGTCACATTGAAATCATAGAATATTATAAATATTCTATGAATATTTTCATAGAATATTGCAATATTTATTATAAATGATTTATCCATGCACATCATTATTTTTTTAATCCATGTACCTTGTAATCTTTAATAAAAAATAAAAAAACGTCCCCTTCCTCTTGCAACGACATCTCTTCTCTGATGATGACACAAGCCGTTTACAGGCGCAAGACGGGACAATCTGTCGCTCACATGGGATAACAGCAATAGCAAACCACAACCATCCAATTAATTCCCGATGGCCAAAATGCACAAGTCCCGCCCTACATTTTTTTTGTTCAAGAAGCCGTTTCACTTTCCTTTTTTTTTATGCCGACTTTAAGGTGAAGTTCCTTTTTTCCTGTCTGTCGGACTGTGTTAGGTGCCTGTAGAAGTGCTGTTATTGTTGACCGTTCCTGTGGTGGACACAGATAAGGAGGATCACAACTGGAAACGGCCTCTTAACTGTCTGCACATAATCACTGGGCCTCTGGTGTGTGTGCTCACATTCCAGTCTGGAAAGTGTGAGTCGGCTTTTTTTTTTTTTTTTTTTTACCATAAGAACAAATTTGTGTAACAGCAATCTTATATGTGCACAATGTAAGGTACTGTTATGTCACCCCTATCATTGTTGCTTTATTACTCCTGTTGCAGTCATTAGAACGGTCAGAGGAACTGAAATTCCTCTTGTATGCGAAAAGATAAATGCTGTTAATGCAGATGTTGTGTAATCACTTCATGTTCTGTAAAGTGCATGTGATTTAAACAGACATTTCATTCTTTTTCATTCAAGATGGCTTATACCTCATTGAAGGAGAATTTCCTGTCTGGGTGCTTACAGTCTGCATTGGAGTCTTCCTCTCAGCCATCGTCTTCTTCACTACCACAAATAATCATCCTCCTAGATATCACTTTGTATGAATCTTTAGTTCTGTCTACTTTTTATTTTGGTTAAAATATGCTGCCAATATAAAGCTTCATTGTAATGTACACTACTGTTCAAAGGTTTGGGGTCTATTATTATTATTAGATTTTTTTTTTAAACTTACTTAACAAATAGGATTCATTTATTTGATCAAAAATACAGTAAAAATAATTTAAATAAAATTTAAATAATTTAAATTAGCTGTTTTATAATAATGATAATTTAATAATAATAATTCATAAATGTAATTTAAAATGATATTTCCTGTAAAGGCAAAGCTGAATTTTGTGTGTGTAGCTCTATTCATTGCTAGGTTTTGTGGTCAGTGCTCTGTGGATCAGCACTGTGGCGGCTGAGATTGTCAGTGTGCTGCATCTGCTGGGGATTGTTCTCAGACTCAGCAACACTGTACTGGGACTCACCTTGTTAGCCTGGGGCAACAGCATCGGAGGTACATACCCACTCACAACATAAAAAATACACACAGCACATTATCTTCCCATTATTTTTGCTCATAGCCAGTTGTAGGACCCGAAGTGAAAGTAAAAGAGATTTGCAACTACTAGATAGTATTGTTTAAATATTTTGTTGGCACTGTTAAGCAGTGTTGGGCAGTAATGCGTTACTGTAACACAGTTACATTTGACAGTAACTCCTACTGTAACGCATTACTTTTAAAATAAATTAACTCCGTTACCATATGGTGCGTTGTCCGTTACTTTTTTAAATTAATTAATTTTGGCTGAAGTGTAGCCTACAGCCTAACCTGTTTACAGCAGCGACGCATTGTCCCGTATTTACAAGTAAAATGATGTGTCCGTATCAAATCAATAAGGGACGCGATTTGTCCCGTATTTTACATAAGGCCCACACATAGCCTAGTTGGATAAAAACATAGGCTTTACTATACTAATAGCAAATAGCCTATAAATAAATCAATTTCACAATAATGTTACATTATGATTAGAATCAAATGAATTTTGTCCATTTTCTAAGCTTAGAAAATGCACATTTATACGGGCTGAATTTTATAGGCCTAAAATAAATATTGTTTAGTAATTATGTGAATTACACTGCGCAAACTACTACCCACCGAATGAAGAAGGGTTGGCTCTCAGTCTCCACAGAACAAAATATTCATTTTATTTTTAGTGTTCGCATTTATGAGGAAAAAACAATGTTACGGACGCGACGCGCTCTGAAAGCGGCACTAAAAGATGATTTAATACTTTCACAGAGACATCAAACAGAAAGCACAAAACCTTTCTTTAAAATGAATTTCGTTTTGTATTAATTGTATCTTAATTTTAATCAATGTTTCATCAACCAATTGCCTGGATTTAATAAATAAGAAGTAAATATAGCAGACGATAGATAATCACGAAATGGAGGCGCCGGCGCGTGAACTGGAGCTCGTCTCATAAATTAGCCGAAACTCAGCGTATAAGGTAACCTACTTGCCTCACAGACATGTCTACTTTTAAACAGAACAATTCAAAACGAAAGAAAACAGACTACAGACTGCTCTCTGGTTATGTAATCCGTATGAAATGTGCATTTCTCTCTGGCGCGTCTACTGCGAAGATCGCGAGTCAGCATAGTGAGTCACCTCAGAAATCCTTGTGATATATTCAGTTTGTGCTGGTCTGACTCAAATAAAATAGTGTTTAAAAATTGCTTTCTGTTTAAGTCAGTTTTGTGTTTGTATAGACCATAACGCATAAAAGGGCATTAATGGGAACATTAAAGAATGTTTTTTTTTAAAGTAACTAAAAAGTTACTTTTAACAGTAACGCATTACTTTTTGGTGTACGTAATCAACAAAGTAATTGAGTTACTTTTTGAATGAAGTAACTGTAACTAGTTACTATTTCTTAGTAACTACAACACTGCTGTTAAGTACTAATGGTAATTTATGTGTTAGGTTTTTTTTTTTTTTTTTTTTTTTACAGATAACTTTTAATACTTTAAAGCAATGGTTCTCAAACCTGTCGTGGAGGACCACCAACACTGCACGTTTTCTATGTCTCCATAATCAAACACACCAGATTCAACTCATCAGCTCATTAATGTCCTACTGGTGATCCAAACTTTAAAGGATCACCAGTAGGACATTATACACTGTTATGTAATTACATCTGTTAGACCAGATATAATATTTTTGTGTTTTCACAGATTGCTTTGCAGACATTACTATAGCCCGTAAGGGATACCCACGGATGGCCATCTCTGCCTGTTTTGGTGGCATTATCTTTAGTATCCTTTTAGCATATACAGTCTTTTAAAAGTTTTCTTTTTGTGTATGTGCTTTAACTATATCAATAGTTGACAGTATTATAAATATACTGATATATTTGGCCCTAAAACATCACCACAGAGTGTGTTTTGTATGCCTTTAACATTGCATAAAGATATGCTGTTTGGTGTAGGTCTGGGCTGCCTGCTGCAAATGTTTCAGAATAATAACGTAACGGTATGTCTCACACTCTTTACACAATGCTTCAGCTTTCTGCTTGTAACTGGATGCTATCTACTGTACAAGTTTCTGGCGTTGACTTGAGAATATGTTGCAAGCTTTTAATCAGCTGAATATTAGTTTAAATGAGTAATGGAGTCTGATTTGTGTGCTGTGTTCTGTTCTATGGTCAGCTGGAACCAGAGGGGGTGCTGTGCTGGGTTCTCTCAGGAGCGCTGGGTCTGTCTCTGGTCCTCTCCTTCATACTGGTTCCTCTTCAGTGTTTCCATCTGAACAGAGTCTATGGCATTTTTCTACTGATCTTCTACATTGTCTTTCTCATCGTCGCCCTCCTCACCGAATTTAGAATTATCCAATTCTAACATCAGCAGAAACACTAACCAGATGGATGCAAATATCTTAAGACTCTCATAGAAATATATTTAAGAATATAAATATTTTTGTAAATGCACATGTGTTTGAAGATCATGAGCCACTAATTACTGTACAGTTAAATTGTTTTCAATCAACTATAATCTTGAATCATGAGATTAAAATGTATTTTATTAAACAGAACATTTGCAAATATGATGTGGGGTCGTCTGTTTTTCTTAAGCAAACCCTTACGAAAATTAAAGGGTTAGTTCACCCCAAAATGAAAATTCTGTCAGTAATTACTCACCCTCATGTTGTTCCAACCCCTTAAGACTTTCTTTCATCTTCGGAACACAAATTAAGATATTTTTGATGAAATCTGAGAGCTGTCTCACTCCTTCATAGGCTTCTATGGGATTGAAACTTGCCGGCCCAGAAAAGTTATTAAAAACATCGTTAAAATAGTCCAAGTGACTGCAGTGGCTCAACCTTAAGTTTACCAAGCGACAAGAATACTTTTTGTACGCAAAAAATAAATAAAAAAAATATCGACTTTATTCAGAGAAGGAAATGAATAGTTGAATAAAGTAAATCAAAAAGACATGAACTTTCTTTTATTCCACGTGCTCTTAAACTGTTTTATAAATAACTTGCAGGTTCTGCTTATATGAAGCCTGATGTATTTCAGGTTTTTGTATGCATCTGTTTTACTCCTGTTTGTTTCTTCTATTTTTTTTTTTTTTTTTTTAATTAGATACGGTTAAAATTTTAAAATTTTAATACGGTTGTCTTGAGTATGTGTTCTGTTTGATACATTTCAGGGTTTTGTCCTTCAATATCCTGCCTTGTCAAACTCTTAAATAAACTAAACTAAACTAAAGTCGTTATTTTTTATTTATTTTTTTTGCGCACAAAAAGTAGTCTAGTCGCTTGATAAACTTAAGATTGAGCCACTGTAGTCACTTGGACTATTTTAAGATGTCTTTAATAACTTCAAGTTTCAATCCCTTAGAAGCCTATGGAGGAGTGATCCAGCTCTCAGATATCATCAAAAATATCTTAATTTGTGTTTCGAAGATGAACGAGGTTGGAACAACATGGGGCTGGTATTACTGACAGAATTTTCATTTTTGGGTGAACTATCCCTTTGACCATGGTTCTACCACAAAAAAACATGGTAAATATAGTTAAACCATGGTAACCACAAATTCACCATTGCTATAACCACGATAGTTGTTTGTTTGAAGTAAAACTGGTTATACAAATGGCAATCAATCCGCCAAAAAACATGGTTACTATTTTGCTATAAAAAAGAAATTAAAAAAACCTGGTTAATTTTCGTAAGGGAAGTCCAATTCGTGCACTGATCGTTTTTTGCTTCTAATGATTAATTGAGTTGATTGATCTGGTTTATAAAATTGGTCCGAGCGGTCAGGACCCGATGAGCGAACGAGAAATGTGTACTTAATTATGTAGTTGTAACTTGTACTCAAAATATATTGCTTGAATGTCATGTCAGTCAACGTGACGTCTCCTGAATGAGTGTCATTTGTCTGTATGCGTGGATTTGTTGTGGGTGAGTGTGTTGTTGAAGTAGCTGTAGTATTCGCTCCAGACCATGAGGTGGCAGTGTCGCTCCAGCGCTCTTTCTGAGCCTGAGCGCAGAGCCGTCCGTAGCTGTTTTTAAGTAGGCTGAGGTTACCTAGCAGTGAAATTCAATCCCTGTTTACCTGTAACATAAAGACAGGTAGAAATTAGGCCAAACTCAAGACTTGACCCGTTAGGGTTATTATTTGATACATATATTTTCTTTGGTTGGCACGAGCGATGTCAGGCAGTTGCGGGCGGAATCCTCCTCCTTTCCCTGAAAATGAAGATCAGGAGGCTGAATTAGACACTCGAGTGCTGGACAGCGACGAGTATGATGATGAAGGCGAGGACATATTCACCGGCGCGAGAGTGAGACACCTGTTTCTGAATGAATAACCTTTTTTCATTATCTGGTGAATTGATATGTGGGAATATTTAAGTGTCATTTGACAGAAGCTAGCTTATATAGCTGATTCAATGTCTGCAGCGGTTAATAATGCAGCTCAACAGACGCACGAACTGTAATTATGTCACGGTTATCAGCTGTTATTGTGACAATTTGTTCATCTCTTTGCAGAGTAAACCGATCACACCGACATCAGCTCCTGATGAGGGCGATATCTTCAGTGAGGAGGGCTCTTACATCAGGACCGATGTCCATCACGCAACTAATGGCCTTCACTCTGATGAAGAGCTGGATCTGTTCACTGGTATTTCTCACCACTCCATTGCTGCACCATTACTCAAAATGAGCAATACATACTTAATGACAATTAATTTCACATGCAGGCCAGATGGCAACTGAACTGCTTTCTGGAGAACATATAATAAATTCTATCTTTGTCTTTAAAATAGCATGACAGTGAAACGCTGATTTATGTAAAGATACTTAATCTGAGGAGTAAAAAGTACTGATTATTTTTAATTAAGTGAAAGTACAGTTACAATAAAAAAAAAATTAAAAAAACTCAATTAAAAGTATTACCGGTAAGTACCTAGCCTAAAATAGTTAGGAGAAAGTACAAAAGTACTATCCACAATTAATTGTATGCAAGATTTAAAACCAAACCTAAAACTTTCATAGCCCTGTCAAAAAAAAAACTGTCAAAAATCACTATTTTCTTATTGTTCTAACTACGTAAGAAACTAGGATCGAGCAGATGTTAAACTGAAACCAATATCCTGAAATCTGTTATCTGAGTATTTACAGCTAAAATTATCAGAAGATTTTACAGACTTTTGAATATAGTGATTTTTAGTGATTATTATAAAAACAATTTAAGAGCTGAAAGTATGTCTGAAAGGGATAGATTATGTGTGCATGATTGACTGGCTTGTTAGTCACATTAGGATAAATATTTACTGAGGAAAGCTTTAAGTTACAATGACATACATGTAATTTGTAATTTTAAGTTTACATGAAATTGTAATAGAGTAAAAAGTATTTTTTTTTTCTTGTAAATATAACTGAATAAAAGTACAAGTACTTGGATTTAACAGAACGCAAGTAAATTACAGATTCCTCAAAATACAACTATACTAAAATATAGTGAAGTACTATTACTCAAATACATTACACCACTGTGCTTTATCTGTTCTGTCTGTTCAAACTCCAGAGGCCACTGTCGAACTGACACTCACCAACACCACAAGTCAAGGCAGGAGAGAGATTATTGGCCCGACTGCATCGGCTTGCAACACCACACATGTCCCTAATTCCATGCTGAAACCCAGCATTGTCACCAAGACCATGGAGGAGGTACTGAAACAAGACCCTTCATGTGCCTTCATTTGCATTAATGTATTATTTATATAGATTCTCATTTCTAACTGAGTGCTGATGGACTTTTTACAGTTGGAGGAGGAAGAGAGTGGAGACCAGTTTGAGCTGAACATCGCAGTCACAAACCCTGAGAAAATTGGTATCTTATCCACCTTATTTTTCAATGCAGAAGTAACCGATTTTCAGTGAATGTGCAAGACTTCTGATTCATCATCCACTTTAGGTAAACAACTAGAAGAATAACTTATGATAAATTTAAATAGTATGATAACAAATAGCAGTTTGCAACATCAAGCAGCATAATGGACTATTTTTGTACAGCTAAAAGAAAACAGCTATAAAAGAATAATAATTATAAAACAGCAGACACCAGAAGCCTTATACATTCAAGTTACAAATGTTAGTGCCTACTCTTACGTAAAAAAATTGATCTCTAGTTCTAGCTGATGTCTTCAGTGGTTCTCAACCAGTTGCCCAATAGGGGGCCTCAGCAAACTTCCAAAGGAGTGTTTAAAAAAAAAAAAGTATTTTTATTTATTACATTTTAGAATTATTTAAAATAGATTGTATTAAACTATTCTAACTTAATTAAAATGCTAAATATGTTGTTGCTGTAATTATTATAGAACATACAGTTCTTCTGAAACATTTCAGACACTTCTGAAATAAAAACATTAATTATAAATAATAATTTACCTATTGACACTCATAGAAAACAAGCAGGATTGTCATTATTACTGCAGTAGTACCAGAGGAAATATCTTAGCCTAGATGGGTGGGCCTTAAAATATTTCCTTGGACAATGTGGAGTGAAAAGGTTGCGAACCACTGGTCTAGCCTCTTGTTCTGAATGTTCAGTTGAGAGCTATAGTGACTGTGTTTTTTTTACATCATTGTGTTGCAGGAGATGGCATGAATGCCTACATGTCTTACAAAGTTTCAACTCAGGTACATTAAAGCTCTTCCTTATTCCTATTTCTTGGATTGCTCAAGCTTTATATATCAGAATTTTTTCTTTTCTCTATGCTACTCTGTCTCTCTCCAGACTACACTGCCTATGTTCCTTAATAAGACGTTCACAGTGCGTCGACGTTTCAGTGATTTCCTGGGACTTTATGAGAAGATGTCAGCCAAACATTCCTTGCTGGGCTGCATCATCCCACCTCCACCTCAGAAGAGCGTAGTGGGTAAAGAAGCTCTCATGGTCACTCTGGCTCTGTCTAGTGCAAGGGTAGGCAACGTCGGTCCTGGAGAGCCACTCTCCTGAGGAGTTTAGCTCCAACCCTAATCAAACACACCTGAACAAGCTAATCAATGTCTTCAGGATTACTAAGGCTACAGGCGGCGGGTGAGTTTTTTTCAGGGTTGGAGCTAAACTCTGTAGAACAGTGGCTCTCCAGGACTGACGTTGCCTACCCCTGGTCTAGTGGAGTTGTTCTAGTGAAACCGACTAGACACTCTGCAAAGGCCCGGATTCCTGAGAATGTTCACTCTGAGCTGTCTGTTCGCAGCAGTCTGGTGTGATTTGCTGACTGAGCGTGTGGTTTGTTGTTGTCACAGGGATGACTAAAGTGAAGGTAGGGAAGGAGGATTCGTCCTCAGCAGAGTTCGTGGAAAAGAGACGAGCAGCACTGGAGAGGTGAACACATGCCTAATAACACATACACAAAAAAAGAGGTCAACCAATTCATAGTTTTCAGTCACATGACTGCAGCTGGGACCTGGAGGGTAAAACATCCATAGAACTGCTGCACGGGCCTGTCAGTTTTCCATCTGTTTCAAGCCACAAATATTTAGATCACCTGTCAAAAGAAGAATGAGATGGTATGTGAACAAACT